TGCTTATACATTATACCAAATTGCTGGTTTTGCCGATTTGATTATCGCCAAGGGAAGGAACCTGAAGCGTATTGAAGGTTGAAGACAGACGTGAGCAATCATGGAAAACAAAAATAAACTGATATTTTGGATATGTATTTAATAAAATAAACCTGCTGATATTTGTTTTCTAGTAGTATAAGTTGATCACTGAAGTCAAGCCCAGTATCATTCGATCTTCTGAACCTATAGTAAAGGATATGTTTAGCTTGTCAGATAAAACAAACACAATTTAAATAACAAAATACAGTGACACTTCCCTCATAGTTAAGCCAAAATAATTAATCCAATGTCACCTTGCAAATGTCACCTGCCTTTTGGGCCAGAAATAAAGAAAAGTGAATCAAATAAATGATACTTTTGTCTCTGAATTTCTTTCTAAAAGATTACAACATAAAGCATTTAGCATTCATTTGGCTTCTAAGGTGAAAATTGTACGGAGTATATAATAAGAACCAAGAAATTTATCAATAATAGACTTAAATAATGTCAGATGGATTAACTCACATCACTCATCATGAAAGAATACAAAAGAGGTAGATTTAGTATAATATACACCTTTCTTATTAATTAAATTAAATCTTATCATAGGTGACAGAAACAATAGAGAGAAATGACAATGAGAAATTAGGAGAAAATATGGAGAATTAAATTCAAGCACCTTAAGCTACTTTTGTTTTGCTCCATCAGGGATCATCGTCATATATTAAGCTCGACTCCCTCCTCTGAACAGCCACCATCTGGAGTGAAACCAGCAATTCACTTTGAGACCACTTGCGGTTCTTTAACTAATGAAATAGACTTTTCAAATAACACATAATTGATCAACATTCAAAAACTTCCTAATTACTGTTCACTTTCAACTCACACATTCAAATAAAAAACACAAAAGCATGGGATAGTCAAAAATGGGAAAAGTCATTTGAACACACCTGATGTAGAAGAAGACTACTGGATAGTGAATGTGGTAATTTGTGGAAATATGCTAAAGTTGAAGAGTTCATTGTTACCGTCAGTTTATCTGGCCATTAACAACGGGAATTTGATGTATTAGAATAGCAATTTGTATCTCATCAAACAATTATCAGTTATGTCATATGATTATTGATCCATTAATCAGGTGAGCATACCGATCGTTGATCAAGTCTCTGCTCCACACTATGCCATATACAAATAACTACTCTCTCCGTCCCACTGTCTTTGTCCACTTACCTTTTGGCACACCATCCAATGCACTACTTTAATCCATTTTATCTTGTAATTTATATATTAAAAAATTAAACAAATTATATATTAATAATCTAAATGTTAAGACGAATCAAACAAGATCACACATGACTATTTTTAGGCTTACACATTGAGAGAATTTGATGAGTCAAAGTGCTTAGATGAACAGTTCCAAAAGTCAAAACTGGACAAAGACAATGGGACGGGAGTAGTAAATGTTAGTAATTTAAAAAATAGAAAATCAAAATAGAAAAAGGACATAGTCATTGTCTTGTTTGTAATATTTGGAGGAAAAAAACTACATTTTAAACATAAAACAAGAAATTTCTTTATACATAACACTCCAAGTGCAGTCAAAGACATTATTTTCTTCATCGCAAGTCAATACTTGATACTTGATAAAAGCTTGGAATAACTTGCTTTTTCGTGCTCCATCACCACATGTATACCATTACTATTACTCCGTACTAAAGTCTAAAACATAAAGATCAAAACCTTAGAGAAAATATCTGAGCAATATAGTCTCTATTTTAAAAAAAAAGCTTTAAAACATCACCAGTGGTCAATGTTATAAATAGACTTCAAGTCATCCTCAGTTTTTTTGTAATTCTTCTTTGGATCTTTCAAACTGTCCCCCAAATCAAGTCTTGAATCTAAAACTTTAGTTTGAAAAATGACGAAGGCAGACCATTAAAGCATTAGCCTATCAAGGTACTCTGGTTTTACATTCTCATTATCATTTTTTATATGTGGGGATTGGAAAAGGTAGCGGGCAATATGTTAATTGTGGATGCTATTGAATAGGTTGGGGTCGAGATGCCCGTTCTTTGTTATAGGCATCCAACAAAAGTATTGCATGTAATGAAATGTGAATGGTTATGGAAAAAACTTACAAATTTGTACTTTGTATCTAAAGATTTAGTATAACTTCTATAAATTAATGGCACCTCGTTGTCAACTCTTTTGAACCTCTTAATGAACATGAATTTTCAGATTGCTCTTGCCTTCGAGATCTGGGAACATAAATGAGGTAGAATTTGGGAACACCACTTCATCATTAAGGGTATTGATATATCAAAGTAGTTGGCACATATAGAAAATAACTTTCAGGAGCTATTTAAAAACATACCATATATTGGTCAGCTTCTTTCTTTTTTTGTTTAATCAACACTGACAATTCAAAGACTTCTTCTGTCTACCAAGCATATGCAAGTTAGCAAGTTAAAATAGTGAAGTGGCAAGACAAAAACATAAGTATTAAAATGACACATAAAATAGATTTAAAAATTACGAAGATGTACCTAGACCAAGTTATTGTCATGAATTGGTTAAATTTGTCTTCATGTCCTCTGCCCCACCTATTCTACTTATCAATAATAGTATAAGAAAACATGCAACAGCTTTTCAAGAGCCCTCATCGTAAAAAGTGAAGTATAGAACATTTCCAGACAAACATACATATTAAAGAACAGAAAAAAGTAGAAATAAGTAAGCAAAAGCAGATAACATACTCTATCAAACAACAAAATATCATTTAGTCTAAAATGTGTCTTGAAGTTCATCTCAACTATATCAGTTCACTTTATTGTACATTAAAGGTATAAATTGCACAAACAAATGATTCACCATTTTAGGAATGATAAGCTTCAAGTGCATATATAGGAAAAGATAATAACTGGCATACTTATGATGTGTGAGTGAGAAGAAATTCCCAGACACCAAAGAAGAGACCAAATTTTAAAAAATTTACCTTTCATTTTTAGATTCATAGCTCTTTCCAAAGCTCCCAAATTGAAAATGAATATTCTTCCATTAATCAATCTAACAATCTAGTAAATCCAAAAGTAATCTTCAAGCCTGTAAGGCTCACAAAGGACTCAATTTCCCTTTCACAAATTGAACAAAGTATATTACAGAAAACTACACTTCTAATCATTTTAAAGGCTTAAATGCAACATAGCACGTCTTCTCAAGAAATATATATAAACATCTTTATAGTAACCAATAAACTAATCCCTGAAAAAAAAATGTTTACTTTTACGGGAGAAGTTCTATATGTAACGTCAATAAGCATCAATAAATTGATAAACACATGGCGAGTGGTCACAAATCGTCTCTTTATAAGTGAAATAAAAATTACAGGGCAAAAAACTTTCACAGATAAACCACACTACTTACGCGAATGCGATATCATAAAGGGCAATAAAACTAATGAGTTGACCAAATGTACAAATTTGAAATATAAATAAAATTTCACAGACGAAACTGTAAATTTTAATACTAAAAGAAAAAGTTAAACAACAAAGGATTAAATAGAAATAGAGCCGGCAAGAACATCCAGGTTCTAAAAAAGGAAGAGGGAGTTACCTCGAATCTGTCCACCGCCCATGTATTGAACCGTCTCTAACGGGAATCAATCGTCATCTCTTGTTTGTCCAGGTCTCCCGCCGAGAACCGGGGTTATGATTCAGACTCCCCCTTCTTCAAATTTGCAACCTCGGTAAATTCTCTTCTTCATCAGTAGAGTACGGCATCTGCATTTTGGCGAGTAAGAAGAACAATACTTCGAAAAAATAAATTAGCGGTAAAGCTATTAAAAGAACAAAATCGATCATTTCAATCGGTATATATGATCGCCTAAGGAAGAGGATCAAAAGTCTATGATCAGATTGCATTTCTTCTTCAAAATATACAAAAAGAAAAATGGGGAGATGCATTTCTTCTTCAAAATCTACAAAAAGAAACTACTCCGTAATAGCGTAAAATAGAGGGAGGTTGATTTGCAGTTTTCAATGATGTTTGCAAAACTGATGCCTCCAAATATTTAGATGGGACTTTGGTAAAGAGTGAGATAGATTTCAAGGTGCAACCCATTTCTCTACCTGGCCCAACATGCCCTGAAACTGCCCTGAAATTTGGGCGGGGAAAAATTCATCTTGCTTTTATAAAGAGGTAGATATACAATTGTACGCCCATATTAGTTTCTTCACAAATGAGGAAGTGGTAAGTAAATGTCAAACCTCTACCTATTAGGTAGCTTTTGTGGAACACGAAAGGGTGGACTTGGTATTTAGGCAGGAAATCATTCTTGCTACAATTGTAAAGGGGAGAATTTGTTTTCTTCTCTCTCAAATTACATAAACTAAGCACCATGTTGAGAATGTTATTAATTTAAACTTACTTTAGCCATAAAAGTGTCTGAAATGGGCCCCCACCTACTCCAACTTTAAAGAAGAAGAAGCTACCGCCACACCCCTTTGCTTCTCACTGTTATTTATGTTCTCATTCTGCCGCTCTTCCTAGTTTGCACACAATACAGACAATGGTCAAATAATGCACCTGATATTTTTTTACAGAAGGTGGCGACACAGAAATATTATTAAGATTTTAACAGAATAACATGATAAAAAGTAAAAAAGCAGATATATTGCCATAGTACCCCATTAGAGTATCACCACTCTTCATTCTCAGTTGCTGTAATGGTGTCTTCTTCTTCTTTCTGTACTAATAGAGCCATTAATATTTAAAGCTGCAAGATGATAAAAATTATTACTCTGAGTAAATCTGCGAGTACTATTTAAAGGTTCAAGATGATAGGAAATAGCTTCAGAGGGCGCACATAAAAGTAGAGAAAAATTTTATTTAATTTAATTATGAGATGGTTGTATGCTTCTACCAAAATGACAATTCAAAAATAATAGATAACAATAAGATATTAAATGGCCAAGGAAGTAGTAAGAACGTAAACTTTAGTGAATGTAATGAAAAGAACGTACGGTAGCTTCTTTCTCAGCTTCTCTCTAGAGACGTTCTTTAGGCACAAACGGTAATTTTGCAACCGGTTTCCTCTCAAACAGGTTGTTTAGAAATCCGAAGACAAGGAAAAGAACCACCGCTATGTTACAGCACAAGCATCAAGATGGGAGCCAGGTGGCGGGTAAACTGATTCTGTTAGCGGTAGTTAGGGCTATTACTGATTTCTGGGAAGCTGTTAGAGTTAGTTAGAAGTTGTTGTGAAGATTGTTGTAAGTCCCTTGTATAAATACCATACCCTGTGTACATTTGGGAGTTATGAATAATAAGACAACACTTTCTTCTTCCTCTCTTTCCTCTGTAACTGTCATTCTCCATTACAGTTAATTCGAAGCTCTCATTCTGCCATTACAGTAGCTTCCTGATAACTGTAACATTGGTATCAAAGCTCCTTCTCGATCCAAACCACGACAATCTGGCCAATACACGTGCGAAGATCAAGATGGAAGAAGCATTGAAGAAGATGATCGAACAACAACGCGATTGGATGGCATCGCAGTTTTCAGAACAATGGAAACTCATGGAAGAACAGGTCTCTCGGCTAGCAAATTAGCTGCAGGATTTGCAGACACAAGGATCTGGCAATTATCAAGAGTCAGGAAATTCATCAAATCACAATGGAGGCAGAAATCTATTCCATTTCAATCCGAAGATCGAATTTCCATCATTCGAGGGAGGAAATCCACGAGAATGGATCAAGAAATGCAGACAATACTTCTCCTTGTGTAAAGTACCTGAAGAACAGCAGGTAAATTTAGCCTCTATTCATCTCAAAGGTAGAGCTGAAATTTGGTTCAGTAACTATGGTCAATGGAGAAATAACATTTGTTGGGATGAGTTTGTCATGGATTTGGGGGCCAGATTCAATGAAGATGATCACAATGATATAGTAGAAGAATTCAATAAACTCTGTCAAACAGGAGACTTAGAAGAATATGTGGATAAGTTTGAAGAACTTAAAGGGTTGTTGTTAAGGAAGAGGCCTAACATGCCTCAGGAGTATTTCCTGGATAGCTTTATTGCAGGACTAAAGCCACAAATTAAGCCTTTTGTGAACGCTTTTGCTCCAACATCAGTAACTAAGGCCATTAGTTATGCAAGGTTGCAAGAGCAAACTGTGGAAGCCTGGAGGACTCAAGATAAATCCAACAAGCACTCACAACTTCAATCTAACATGGGAAGGAATAATACACCTTTACTAGCTAAGCCTGAATCATCTGCCAAATCCAGCACTCCAACAGGCTATCAGGGTGCATTCAGACCTCAGGGCAGTTACAACACGTCTAGCTCAGCCAATAAACCAACCTTCACGCAGAGAAATCCCAAGTTCATCCCTGCATCTGTCAGGGCTGAGAAAATAGCAAAAGGGCTATGCTATTATTGCGATAAACCATTTGAGAAGGGACACAAGTGTGAGAACAGGGAGACTCAACTATTTCTGGTAGAAGTGCTGGGAGAGGAAGAAGCTGAGCAATTTGAATTGGCTGAGGTGGAAGCAAGGGTTGATAATGACCCCTCCATCTCATTTCATGCTATATCTGGGGGCAATGGATACCAGACAATGGAATTTACAACTCTTGATTGACTCCGGGAGTACACATAATTTCATGGACAACAATCTAGCTTACAGATTGGGTTGCTACTTGGAACCCATTACTACATTGAAGGTGACAGTGGTAGATGGCTACAGCTTACAGTGTACACATGTCTGCAGAAAGTTTAAATGGAGGTTACAGGGTACTGAGTTCACCTCTGACATGTATATCATGCCAATAGGAGGTTGTGATATTGTGCTTGGCATCCAGTGGTTAACTACTTTAGGGACTGTGAGGTGGAATTTCAAACAACTTCATATGGAGTTTGAATATTTGGGCAGGAATCATGTACTTCGAGGAGCTAAACAAAGGATCAGTGTGATGAAAAAAGGGCAACTACCTAAAACCATATGCACTATGGCACAAATGTGTATGGTCCAAGTTCAGAGGGAAGATTACCCTATCAAAGGAGGTCTGGAGGACAAAGGAGCCATACCCCAAGAGGTGGAAAGGGTGTTAGCACAGTACGAAGGAGTTTTCAACACCCCAACTGGCCTTCCACCAAGCAGAGGGATTTTTGATCACAGCATTCCTTTAAAAGAGGGCAGCCAACCTATAAACATCAGGCCATACAGATATCCACTTAAGCAAAAGGATATCATTGAGAAGCTGATTGCAGAAATGTTGGATAGTGGTATAATTCAATTGAGTAACAACCCCTTTGCAGCAGCCCAGTGGTGTTAGTCAGCAAGAAGGATGAAAAATAGGACACAAGGTACACAAGTAAATATATCTTTTTAAACATTTGATCTGATCTTATTGGATTTGAATTTGATTTGATCCGCTTAGATCGATTTTGGTATGATTTGATCTGATTAGATTCGATCTGATGCATTTAAAGATTATATCAAGCAATTAGGACACAACCTATACAAGTAAACAGGTTTCCTGTGAAAGTTTGATCTGATCTTAAGTAATTCGAATTTCATTTGATCAGATTAGATCTGTTTTGGTCTAATTTGATTGAATTAGGTCCGATCTGATCTTTTAAAGATTATATCAGGAAAATAAGACACAATCTATATAAAAGTTTAGATTTTTTTGGAAGATTTAATCTGTTCTGATTGGTTTTGAATTTGATTTGATCCGATTAGATCTGTTTTTGTCTGATTTGATCTAATTAGATACGATATGATGCATGTACAAATTTAAATGTGTGATGCTTTAGTGTTGGAGAAATTAAAAGTTTATTGTGGTATAAGTGAAACTTATATCTCAAACTTATGATTTTCAATTGTAACGCACTAAAAACCGGTCTAGAAGTTAATCGATAAGTAAATAAATAAGAATTATTTATTTACGATACTCTATTCTTTTAAAGAATTAAAAGACACTTTATAGATTCTAATCGTCTCAATATTTGGTGACTGATCTGATTTAAATATAAAGAATTAAAGTAAATAACTGAACATTGCTAGTTAAGCGAAACAATTAAAACAGACCAAGTGGAACTTATAAATGCTTATTGATTGATTATAAAAGTTATACCATTGGGTAAGGATCGACGAATTGAATCCAACAACGTGAACAGATCTCAATTTGGAGCAAGTTAAACCGAAAAATATGTTTTAACCTATTTTAAAGAGTAAATTCCATAATTGGTCCTTTATAACAGGGGGTTTCCATATTTAGTCCTCTATTATCAAATATTACCCCCGTAGTCCTTTTTTTAAGGGTATCTTTCCACAAATGTCCTTTTTTTGATCTTCTGCCGTGTTGGTGTTAATATAAAGGCTAAAAATATAATTTGACGTCAACATTATGTCTAGTGACGTGTTCTGATATTGGTTAAGCGGATAACACAAAATAATGACTATGATTGTGGGCTAGGATTCTGACGAAAGATCACATTTGTAGACTATAGTTGTCGTAAAAAATGACTGTAATTCACAAACGACGCAAACGGAACAGCCTTTGGAATTGTGTATGACAAAAACGATATATTATCATTGTGAAATTACACTTTTAGCCCTCAAATTCACACCAACATGATAGAAGATCAAAAAAAGGACTATTTGTGGAAAGGTACCAAAAAAAGAAGGACCACTTGAGTAATATTTGATAATAGAGGACTAAATAGGAAAACCCCCTGTTATCAAATTTACTCTATTTTAAATTACAGAGTACAAAAACCCTATAGGCGACGACGGGGAGCGTTCTGCGAACCTCGAACCAGCGAGCTCCGACGACGTCTGGCCAAATCCGAGCATCCAATTTTTCTCTACGCAAATCAGCAACGCGACAGCGCTCAATCCAACTGCGAGTTCCGGCAGCGACTGATACAGCACAAGGGACGCCGGTGACTGACCACAGTGGACCAGCGACGATTTCTGCCGGCAACCCCTTGTCCAGCGACCTCTGTTCCGGCAAAGTCCAGCAGCTCCGGCAGAGTAACAGCCAGCATCCGGTGGCAGCGGTGAGCCGGTAATTATCCGGCGAACTGACAACCGTGGTCACCCAGCAACTCCGGCGACCTCTGGGCCATGAAGGTGAGGTTCGGGCAGTGAATTTTGACCATGGACAGTGAGGATGAGATCGAGCAACAATGATGACAGATTCGGGCAGGCTTGGGCAGTGACGGGCTTGCTTGGGCAGCTATACTGGATTGTGCATGACGTGGTCTACCCTCTGTTCGGGCCAAGTTCTCTCTCTTACCATCTAGGTTTGAAATTCTGTTTATAATTGTTATCGTGATTGATTTATATATAATGTATTTGTAGACTAAAACATTTAATTGTGGAACAGTCTCACCTTTTTGATGATCTTAGCCAAAAGGTCAAGAAACGTAGTAGAAAATTTATTTTTTAGTAGATGAGTTCCACCACTTTAAAATTTAAACACAACACAATAACGAAAAATATTACATATATACTTGGCTGGAGAGTCAATTTGACAATATTCACCTTGGTAAGAGATTTTCCTATTTATTAACCTCTTTCATGTCCTATTTGATGACATGGTTCATGCCGAGTCTTCTCTATTGGCTGGAGCTTGGCGGTACTTTCAACAAAATGGAAATTTCAACGCCTCCACCGATCAACAAAATGGAAATTTCACCATGTACCGGTATTGGTTTTCCTCTTTTTGTCGGATATCTCCCACAAAAGAATTGTCTTAATATGAACTGCTGCACTCTAATCAAAACCACACTATGACAAATAGGTGCTTAAGGCCATTTGACATTCAGATTCCACTAAACCGGCTATATTTACCTTGTCAAACGCCACGACAATGGTTGGTCTTCATTCTTAAAGCCTGTTAATGTCATATTCATTTTTTTGTACTTATTCACAATTTTTAAACATGGGAATAGCTTAATGCACCCATGCAATTGGTTGTTGGGTTAGGTTCTGGGTAGGGATTTTGTTTCTTACTTTGGGGATTGGACCTGATTTTTGGTTTGGTTTTGGTTAGGTTCTAGGTTGACTTTTAACTTTAGTGTTTGACAATCAAATTTGCGTTAGGTTTGCGGGTACAATCCGTTGGATTTTAATGTTTAGGTCAGACTCTAGTTCGTGTTTTGAGTTAAGGCAATTGCGTTTTACTTTCTTGTTTTTTGTTGTGGTTCTAAATACTATCAAGATTTCTTAAAAACTATGTTGAAAATACTTTTCACCCTTACCATTATTTCAAAATACACTTTCTGAATTTTTATGATATTATTTGAAATTTGGTTTATACCATCAGCAATTCAAATGGTAGTTGTTTTGAATTTATTTTTTCACTATAATCTCTGAAACTTTACTCTATCAAGGAATAAAAGGGTTACATATTTTAGCATCCTCTGTCATGTTCCAATGTCGTTCAAACCAAGGACTTCGTTATAGTGTTCAAATTTTTTTCCTTTTACTTTTTCCCCTTTCCCCTAACAGACATCAGGTTTTTCCCTTAACAAACATCGGGTGGATCGTTAACTCCTCTACCCTTCTACCTTTCTTTATTAAAAAAAGAATGCTTTTAAAAATGTACCCTAAAACACTATTATCTATCTGAAATCCACAATTCAAAGAAATGACATAAGAGACTTAAAAAATGATTATTTCTACTCACTACACATTATGCCTAAGAGTATTCATATAGTTTGGTCACCAAGTATACATTCACAAAATAAAATTAAAGTAGGGTTATTTCGTTGTGAGGGTGACACGTGGAAGGTGAGATGGAGGTGACATGCCATTGAGGTGGATTTATTGTTCACAAGAGCGTTTCACATTCGGCCTTGAAAATCAGACGCCACCCAAAAACGCCATTTCATATGCTTTAACCGGCGCCTGTTCCCCTATGCGACCGGAGAAGTTCAAGAAACCGGCCCGTCAAGCATCGATTCCGGTGAGCAGCTTCCGGAACCCATCGGTCGACTCTCAGAATTAGCCAAACCTATTGTGCACAAATGAGCCAGTTCGAAGAAGAAACATTCCAGATTCAATTTTGGACGCATTTTGACAAGTTTGCGCCCGTTCACCAGCCATGGTGCATCTATCGAGCAACTCCGCCTAACCCATCAGGTATTATCTTCTTCTTTATGACCTTTTCTTAAAACTATTGTAGTTAAATTGTGAAGAGCAAGCAGCACCAAAACAACCACTTCTTTTGCCTTTGTTGTTCACTCTTCAGAAATATAAATCCAATCTGATTAGTTTCCTATTTCAAGAATTTTGAGGAAAAAATATCATCTGATCATTCTCAACTAAGCTAAAGCCCTACTGCACCTTAGCCTTTTAATCAATCATTGCGGGATTCATATCTGCACTCTTTCTTTGTGTTGCTTTACAATTCTTTCGTCTTTCATATCTGCATCTATTATTCCGCGTCTAGCTTTTAGTTAAACAAAGAGGGCTGATATTTTGATTGCTTATTCTTTCCAAGGTTATTAGGATTGCTGGTTAGATTGTGAGATCATATTTCTTCTTTCAGCACCCCTTATTGATTGAATTGCAAATCAATACCCCTAATTAGACAAATTGCAAAAATGCAATCCAGCCAAGAATCAAGATTGCCCCGTACTTTTACCTAATTGTCAATATTTTNTGCCTTTGTTGTTCACTCTTCAGAAATATAAATCCAATCTGATTAGTTTCCTATTTCAAGAATTTTGAGGAAAAAATATCATCTGATCATTCTCAACTAAGCTAAAGCCCTACTGCACCTTAGCCTTTTAATCAATCATTGCGGGATTCATATCTGCACTCTTTCTTTGTGTTGCTTTACAATTCTTTCGTCTTTCATATCTGCATCTATTATTCCGCGTCTAGCTTTTAGTTAAACAAAGAGGGCTGATATTTTGATTGCTTATTCTTTCCAAGGTTATTAGAATTGCTGGTTAGATTGTGAGATCATATTTCTTCTTTCAGCACCCCTTATTGATTGAATTGCAAATCAATACCCCTAATTAGACAAATTGCAAAAATGCAATCCAGCCAAGAATCAAGATTGCCCTGTACTTTTACCTAATTGTCAATATTTTTCTGGCCCTATTTTGTGTAATTGAAGCTGAATGGACGAAGATTACTCCTACTACTTTTTTTTACAGTCCTGCAACTACTACTACCCCTTTTAATCATTTAATGTGTGAATGTTATAAGTGAATTTTATTTAGGGGGAGATTAAGATAATAATATTAAAGAGAAATGAAAATAAGAGTAAAAATTGACTACATGGAATCTTATAGCCCACAGTATACAGGTCTAATTTTGTATAGTATACCACATGACCTATTAGCATTTTTACAAGTGTTAATTTATTTATATGTCTTCCTATTAATAGTAACCATATCTTTTAACTTTGATTTATGATTCCTCATGTTTATAGGTTTTGGAAGTGAGAAATGGATTCCCCGAGAACTCATGCTGCAGCTTTGGATTTTGCTTCTATATGCCCTTCATTAATGAAAGTTCATAATTTATGCTACTGCACTCTGGTATATAAATAAAAAGAAAAAAAAATGCAGTGGAAGGTTGTATATGGTTCCTCATGTAAAAGTTATTCCGTTCTGAGTGAGCTTTGTTCATGGTTTAGGACATTTTGGTGGCTAATTGATCTTAGTTGTAATTTGGCAGGGAATACATCCCAGTGGGCGTGTGTGTTTGCAGCCATGACAGTGTTAGGACATCTATTGCCCAGTGTGCCAGGGTTTGTGGGTTTTGAAAAACAAAAGGTGTGTTCTTCAATATATTCTTAAAAAACGTGAATTAACCTTAAAAGACAGATAATTAGGAATGGAGGGAGAACATGGCACGCGGTCGTTACGGAAAGAAAACAAACGCGGCGGCCGATTTTAATGTAGCGTGTGGATAAATTTTCAACCTTTAACCAGACAGACGTACAGACAGACATTTACCCTTTCTGCACGCAGGTTTGGTTTAATATTCCTTTCCGTTTTCACCCTTTCACCTCGGCGCAGCTGCATTTTAAAGCCGCTAAAAGCGTCCATTTTTTCTTTCTAAACATTACTTTCTCAGATCCATCATGCATGTATAGTACTCGGTGATAAATACTCCGTATTAAAAAGTAGTCTTATCCTCCAAAAAAACTTCTCATTTCGTGTTACCTTTCTTTATATCCATATTTGTTAGTCATTTAATAAAATAATATAGTCATGTCACATTTTGTTTTGTAGAGTTTTAGATCATATAGTTTTTAATTTTTAACTTTTCTCCTTTAATTAAATAAATAAAATTGAAAATATTTTTAATCAAACCTCGTACACTAAAACGGGAAGAATGTTTTAGGATGAAGAAAATATGTAAGTTTTGATTTTTTATTCTTGCACCAATTTTTTTAAAGAAAATAATTTTTAAAAATACTCCGTAGTATTTTAGTTCGTTAAGCAAAAAATGTAATCTGCTTTGGATGGAGTATTTGTCTGATTTAATATTTACTATTTGATATGAATAAGTTCTATAACTATTACTCCTTAATTAAATAAGTTCTACGTTGGGATTAAATGGCTTGGGAACAAGATAAATAAGAAATTTCATTTGCTTAGCGATTTTTAACAAGCGATTAATTGGCTCAATATTGACTTGAAACAATGAGGACAATGTAGCATTCTTGTTATAATAAGATGACAACTAATGGATTGCGAGAGATGTGAACGTGACTATAATTATTCCCTCCATGACCTTAATTGTTTTGTCGACTGGCTCACAAAGGATGCATCGAGTGAAGGTGTGATTGCGTTGAATTTCATACACCCTCGCAGAAGACATTAGAATCTGAAAATGACTCTATCATGAGAGCTACTCTCAATAGTTGGAGACTTGGAGCTAGTGTGTTTCAGCTTCCCCCTCCCCCCAAACAAAATACTTCCACATGTGACATGTCTACAAACTTTCTTCTTACGGAGTATTTTTTTTAAATATGTTAGAAAATAGTATTTTCCTACTTTTCTTTTTTCTTTTAGCAAATTTTTTATTCTAAACAGACTATACTAGCTAGCATCACACAGTTTTGGATACACTTTATCTTTCTTCTCATTATCTATCTTTAATTATATAAAGAGATTGATTTTCTAGATGATAGTATTATAGAATCTTGGAGCAAGGTGAAAAGTTAGTAGACTCCTGTTGTGACAAGAGTTGAGGCAAGGGAAAATATCCCCATTGTAAGTGCTCTAAGGGCAAAAAGGGAAAATTGAAGCAATTTTTATGTCATAAATATACATGTAAAGTCAATTAGAGAAGTAAATTGTTGATTGACGCGAGTTAAAAATTGACTATTAGTAAAATAAAATATTTTTTCTAAAGTTTTTTTACTTCGTAATATAAATGTAATTAAATCATTTTTGTAGTAGTTATCATATGTAAGTTTTTTTCATTTCTAATTAAAATTTTCCAAATTTTATTGTAGCAACTTAAAGTGAACAAATACATCATACATATCTATATACTCTTTAATACCCCGTAGTAGTCAATTGCTTAATGCCTTTATCTACTCTATTTGGCATGTTAGTTTCTACTTTTCTCCACTACTATTTTGCATATATAACACCGTTTTGGAGAAGGAGTTATCAAATACTTTTGCTTTCAGCTTTTGTGTACTTTAATCACTCCCAAACACCATCTAATTGTTCCAATTTAATTTACCTAATTTGGCTATACAAATATTAAGTTAGTTATTAAAAAAGATGTTCAATATTCTATCAATTCCTAAATGTTTACCACATTTAAAAAAAACGAGGCAAAACATCAAATTTTTTGAATTCATTTTTTTGAAATGTCGATATAGAAATAAAAAATAAAATTTACATATTTAAAAAGTACATGAAAAGCTCTTAAAAATAAGAGATTTCAAGAATACTTTATTTTATCAAATAATCAATAAAAACGTACAAATAAACAAAATTTCTCGTATTTGTTGGAAAAAATATGTGAAATATTTTAGAATGGGGAGTGTACAAAAATGAGTGAAAAAAAGAAAAAAACTGTATGGGTTTGGATTTTATTTGTTGGGTTGCTACTTGCTAATTGCTATGATCGTGGGTCTAACCCGACCCACAATTTGATCGGGTCTAACGGGAGTCACAACAAGTCAAAAACCCTACAAAACCCGTCAATTCAAACATATTCCAACGTATCTCTTTGTACCACCTCCACATATTCTCCGCATTTTCAAACATTAGCTCGCCGGAAAAAACCAAGTTCATGGACTCCACTCCTCCGCCGCCGGAACCCAGAAACCGAACAAGATCGTCTTCAAGGCGCTCCAATCCCCTTCAGTCCCAAACCAAGAACTCTTTCTCATCTCCCCTTCCCCAAATCGGAGAACGAAGTCACGGTTACCGGAGAATCTTGAAACTGTTGACCACGTCGCCGAGCCCGCCGGCGCTCGCCCGAGACGCAGGACCCGAAATGCCTCTTCAGTTCTTGCTTCCCCTAGGAATACCAGGAGACAAAGAAAGCGAGTAGATCAAGAAACGATGAGAGACTTTAACGAATCAGGGGTCGGAGATGGAGAGGAGGGCGTTCGGCGTAGAAAGAAGAGGCAAATTGTCATATTCATTTCTTTTGTACTTATTCACAATTTTTAAACATGGGAATAGCTTAATGCACCCCTGCAATTGGTTGTTGGGTTAGGTTCTGGGTAGGGATTTTGTTTCTTACTTTGGGGATTGAACCTGATTTTGGGGTTGGTTTTGGGTTAGGTTCTAGGTTGACTTTTAACTTTAGTGTTTGACAATCAAATTTGCGTTAGGTTTGCGGGTACAATCCGTTGGATTTTAATTTTTAGGTCAGACTCTAGGTCGTGTTTTGAGTTAAGGCAATTGCGTTTTACTGTCTTGCAGATTTCCCGGTATGATTGAAATGTTTTCTCTGATTCCTCGTCTTGTATTTATGGATCCTTCCCTTAATAATCCCCTGCCAATTATTCCAGCGTGTACGTTGGGCTATTTATATTCGATTTTGGGAGATGGGATGAGACACCATCTCCAAAATTCCTCCTAGGTATAATCTTATGAGTTCTTTGGCTTGTTCTTCTCTTTGTTGTTTCTTTCTATTACTGAAAGAACTGTCATTTTCACCTACAGGTAGTGCTGAACCTGCAGCAGTTTGGAAAATTATTCTTCAGGTAATTTAAATTCCATGTATTCAAGAGTGCTCAAATTCAGATGTGTATTCTGCTCAAATTACTTCCTTTGATTTTTTCTATCTATAGACTCGTGTTATCTCTGCCATGTTCTATATTGGATTATGTAAGAGGTCAGTATTTTTTCCATTATATTGTAAAACATAAATTCATCATATTTATATACTATGCATATTCATGTATAAATATATTTATTACATTATATTGAG